TTAAAAATATATCTAAGGTTAGAATTTTCACATCTCAAACCAACACTGAGAAAATGTACCGTGCATTCATCTAGGTGAGATTATTGCAACACTATTTGCAGGCCTGTCTAAATCACCACTAGGACATCTTAAGCTTATCCAAAATGCAGCAGCCAGAATCCTTACAGGGCAAACCCTCCATTGGCTTCCAGTACAATACAGAATCACCTTTGAAATTCTTCTATTAGTTCACAAAGCTCTCAATGGTTTGGCCCCTAGTACATCTCTGACAGTGTCTCCAACCCAGTCAGACCTCTGGGGTCATCAGATTCAGATCTTTTAACTGGTCCCAGAATCAGATCTCAGTCTACTGAGTGTGCGTTCAGTTACTGCAGTCCTGTTTTTTTAATAAAAGCTGCCTGCTGACTTGAGATCAATTATATCTGTGTGTACATTTAGAAATAGATTCAAAACCTTTCTATTCACACAGGCTAACAGTTTATATGCGTTTTGCTTTTCTTTCATATGGTTTTGTTCTGTTTTGCTGGTTTCATTGCCTTAAGAGATTGTAAAACTACAGTTATTAAATTTCTTTAATTTATGTGTTAAGCACAATGAGTTTCAAGTGATGAAATGTGCAATATAAATAAAATGATCATCATCTGGCTGATGGATCTCTTATTCCAATTTCAGATCCACAAGAGTCTACAATACTGGATACATGCAATATTAATGTCAAATAGATGTCCAGCATTACAGTCGGACTAAAGCCTGCCCACCTTTTGCCGCTGCATCATGTTGAGCAGATCTCCAAAGGGTGACTCTTCTGGGTTGTCAAATGCCAAAAGGGCTAGCGTTCGCTCCATCTCTGTCAGACACTCTCGGCTCTCCTCCCCCTGCTCTGCCAGCTGTGTCTGAGCAAACTCCAGCGCTGACTCAGTTTCTCTTAGCCTGATTAACTCAATCAAATGTTGCTGCTGCAAGAGGGGAAACGAAGCAGTGAGTGTTGACGTTCAGGCTTTGTCTTGTCAAACTTTATCTAATATCACAATAACTTCCTTTTCCTGTGGGAGGAGAAAAAGAACATAATCTCATCACAGGCAATGGCAGGATAGGTCATTAGAGAAAGCGCACTGCAAAGCAGAGCAGACCTACATCAGATGTCTTACTGCTATTTCCAACGTTAAAATTAGAGCCCTGCACAGCTTTTCGGAAACGCACCTGCAGATGAAAATACAGGTATCGATTGGTGTCGAGCAGCTCCGGGTGTAGGCTGTTAATGAGTGCAATAGCTTCCTGAATCTGGCCCTTCAGGATCATCTCTCTAATCTTTATCCTTTCATCCAAAGAATCCAGGTCCACACTTGGCTCGATACCAGACTCCATCCGGAACTTCTCTGCTGCCTCTTTGAAGCCCTCTTAAATCAAACACAGACAGACACAAAGACGTAAACAAAACTTTACAATTTGTGAATTCAACTTACAGGCTGTATCTTCAATCTATGCCTCACCCGTCACCAGGTAATTCAT